CCGACTACGCGACACTACCGACACGGGAAGGACAAACCGGACCCTGGGCGCCGTCGTATTTCGTGGAGGTGCCCCAGTATCGCACGTGGGACGCGTGGTGCGCAGGTCTGCGCGCTCGATTTGAGCCAATCGCGGCCTCGATCTCGGCGCGACAGAAGCTCCGCACTTGGCGCCAACTCGGTTCCGTCCAGGATTACACGAGCGGATTTCTGGCGCTATGCGAGCAGGTGGGCTACATGCATGAGAGCGAACGCATCGACCGCTACATCGGCGGCCTGAAGCAGGACATCGCTCAGGAAATCCAGCTTCGCGGCGTCACCGAATTTCAGGAAATTCTCGCTATGGCGGAGAAGCTCGACTTCTTTCGCCGACCGAGACCGGGGTCCTACGGAAACAACACCTGGGGACATCGGCCTCGTGGGACGAACGAGAGCGCCACGATACGCGCCGTCGCCGCAAATGCCGCTGCCGCACCATTCAAAGGGCGCTGCTTTGCGTGCAATCGGCCGGGACATCGCAAGAGCGAATGCCCGGAAAACGCTAAGGGAAAGGGGGAAGCTGAGCAGCAGACACAGACCAAGCAGCAGGGAAACGCTGGAAGTCAGTAGTAGACGGGCCCTCTACTGACAGGTCACGCCGCTCGCCCGACCCAACCGACCCTCACCGAGTGATTGTGCCGGTTCACGCAATCGACCACACCCGGCCGAATAAGGAGGGTACCACGGTAGATAGCCCTATACTGCTCAGTGGGAAAATTGGGACGGACTTAGTTAAAATCTTCGTAGATGGGGGAGCCAGCCACAGCCTCATTAACACTGCTACAGCACGAAAACTGCGACTGCCACTGGACCGATGCTTACCTGAGATCGACGCACGACTGGTAGACGGCACGCCGCTGGCAATACGGGAACGCGTAGACCGAGTTCGGATTCGATGCGGGGGTAACTTTACGTTTAGTCAGGAAATGCTCGCAACAACCCTCGACGGAACCGACATTTTACTCGGGCGTGATTGGCTGCGACGACACAACCCGCGAATTGACTGGACGACGGGTGACTGCACCGTGCGAGTGAACGGTAACAGCATCGCCTTACCTCGCTGGGGCTTGCCTGAGTCTTCGTCGGTGCGTGTCAATGCGATCACGATGAAACGCGCTGTAGCGGCCGGAGCTGACGTGTACGCGGTTGACATTCGGGAAGCCGAGGCAGCAGACAAGGGGGGCGATTTACAGAAACTGCTGACTGACGTACCGAGTGACCTGGCGGCACTGTTAAAACAGTACAGTGAAATTTTCCCGGACGACCTGCCGACGGGACTGCCACCTCAGCGACCGCACGATCACAGGATAGAACTGGAACCGGGGGCACAGCCAACAGTACAGCGACAGTTCCGACTGACCCAACCCGAACTAGACGAACTGAGGAAGCAGCTCGATTACCTGCTCGAGAAGGAATTCATTCGCCCTAGTTCGTCGCCCTTCGCCGCACCCATACTGTTCACACCGAAAAAAGACGGGGGATTTCGCATGTGTATCGACTACAGGGCACTGAACAGGGTTACCATTAAATCCCGTTACCCCATCCCACGAGCCGACGAACTGATCGACCAACTGCGCACAGCCCGGGTTTTCTCGAAAATTGACCTCCGGGGAGGCTACCACCAAATCCGCGTTAATCCACCCGACTGCCCTAAAACCGCATTCCGAACACGCTACGGATCCTTCGAATACACCGTCATGCCATTCGGATTGACCAACGCCCCCGCCACTTTCCAAATGACCATGAACGAAGCATTCCGCCCGCTTTTAGATAAGTGCGTCATCGTTTATCTGGACGACATACTGATTTACAGCCCTGACAGAGCACAGCACTTACAGGACATCGAAGCAGTTTTTAAAATCCTGAGTGAGCACCGACTACTGACCAAAGCATCGAAGTGTGAGTTTTTACAGGACCGCCTGGAGTTTTTGGGACATGTTATTTCAGCTGCAGGAGTGGAAATAGACCCGAAGAAAATTGCGACGATTCAGGCTTGGCACGCGCCGACCAACTTGACCGAGTTGCAGAGTTTCCTGGGGTTCGTCAACTACGTGCGCCGGTTCGTCCCCGACATGGCGAAGCTGACTGCCCCGTTGACCGACCTGCTGAGGAAGGGGGTTGAGTACACGTGGGGGGAGAAAGAGCAAGCTGCCTTCTCGGCCCTCAAAAATATTTTGTGCTCCCCGCCCGTCCTTCACATTGCAGATCCCCACCGTCCGTTCGAGCTCATCACCGACGCAAGTGACATCGCTGTGGGAGCAGTACTGTTGCAGGACTTCGGGAATGGCCTCCAGCCAATCGCGTACGAGTCCCGCAAACTACACCCGCCCGAACGCAACTACCCGATACACGACCGCGAGATGCTAGCGATCGTGCACGCGTTCAAAGTTTGGCGATGTTACCTGACTGGCGCCGACGTGACAGTACGGACAGACCACCGCTCGCTACAGTACCTTCGCGCCCAACCGAATCTCAACCCACGACAGATTCGCTGGTTGGACTATCTCGAGTCCAATTTTCACTACACCGTCACGTACAAAAAAGGAGCATCCAACATCGCCGACGCTCTCACCCGCCCCACCGCCCAACTCCACGCCATCCTACTCGCCCAGACCAACCCGCTTTTAACTGGCCTATTCGCCCACGGATACCGCACCGACCCATTTTTCACGACCGGAAATTCACAGCAACTGGCAGAAGCAAAAGGAGTTTATTACGTAAAAACAGGCACCAACCGCATTTGGGTACCCGCGTACTCACTACTAAGGGAGCTGCTGCTGCAGAAGGCACACGACGGGATTACCTCGGGGCATTTCGGGGTAGAAAAAACACGACAGCAACTGCAGCGGTACTATTACTGGCCGGAGCTGTTGACCGACGTACAGCAGCACGTGGGCTCGTGCCCGACGTGTCAGGTGATGAAGAGTTCAAGGAAGCGGAAGGCGGGTCAATTGCAGCCGATCCCACCGCCCGAACGCGCCTGGCAGCAAGTAACCATGGACTTCGTCACAGGGTTACCTTCGAACCCTGGGGGTAACGACGCGGTGATGGTCGTCGTGGATAGGTTGACGAAGATGGCACACTTCGCTGCGTGCAAAAAGTCGATCTCAGCCGAAGAGACCGCTCGCCTGTTCATCGCAGCCGTTGTTCGCCTGCACGGGATACCAGCAGCAATTATCAGCGACAGGGACACGAAGTTTACCAGCAACTTCTGGAAGAACCTCTGGGAGCAGTTCGAGACCAGGCTACAGTTCAGTTCGTCGTACCACCCCGAGACCGACGGCCAAACGGAGCGGACGAATCAGACGATGGAGCAGTTGATTCGTGCCACGTGCGACGACCCCACGACCTGGGAGCAGCAGTTGCCGCTGATCGAGTTCGTGTACAACAACGCCACATCAGCCACGACGCAGCAGTCGCCGTTCTACCTGAACTATGGGCAAAACCCCACAGTGCCCATGACGCCGAGTTCGGACAACCCAACGCCACGTGCACAACAATTCGCCGAAATCCTGCAAGCTGCCCGCGCCAGAGCCGCCGAAGCAATAAAAAAGGCCAACGTCATCGCTAAGCGCAACGCTGATCGCCACCGCCGCCCTGTCACGTACCAATCTGGAGATTACGTGCTGCTCGACACGCAAAATCTGCGACTGCCCGACGTACCAAAATTACGACCGCGCTACTGTGGACCATTCCAAATCAGTCACATGATCACACCCGTCACCGCGCACCTACTGTTGCCAATTGACTGGTACATCAGCCCTTCGTTCCACGTCAGCCTACTTCGCCCATACATCCCGACCACGAGTCAACTGCCGCGTCACCGGCCACAATCAATGACTCGCCCTGCATCAGAGCCGATCATCGAGCCCGAAAAAATTTTGAGCCATCGGATCCGCCACCCCACGGGAATCAGGAGGATTGAATTCCTCGTTCGCTGGAAAGACCGCACGCCAACTGAAGATAGCTGGGTGCCCCTGAGCAACATCGAAAATCACCCTGCCCTGCAAGTGTACCTGAGAAGCCGGGGATTCTGCGATATACACGCACTCGCGTAGCGGAGGGGGCTTCTTAAGGGGGGGGGTAGTGTAAGGAATTTTCTCGGCATTCCTTACGGAGCCGACTACATCGCGTACAGCAACAGCCGACTGTTCGCCCGTTACTGCTAACGGAACTTCGCCGACTTCGCGCGCACTGTTTTGCCAAACCTCGCACTGCTGGCATGGCCGTATCGGCCTACGCTTCGGGACTAGCCCGAGCCTCGCTCCAGCGTAGCACTAGCAAGTTCGCACGCACCGCGTTACCGTTTTGCATGTTTCGCGTATAAATGTTCGCTCATGCCTTCGCTCACATTTTGTACTCATTTGACACCTTAGTGCAATTCTCGCTACCTCGATTCATTGCACCCGTAACAGTAATCAAAAAGTGACCGTAACAATGTTAGATGCTCTACTAGATGCTCTATTACCGTGACAGTGCACGTACACCTATCGCACCAACGGGGAAATCTTTTATCCGTACAGGGTCCTCCTGCCTTTCCCTCAGTGTAGGTGCACTTCAGCAGATCCCACCACATCCACCTCATAGCCTTCGTCATTCTGATTCCTTGCATCCTGCCAACATTCGCACTCCACCTTTCACTGATCCTCCGCCTTTTTTCACCATCGTTCGGGGGGTTTCTGATCAGGCCATCACAGCGTTTTTGCATCGCCTAGCGTTTGGTTCCACGCTCATTGTCGTGTTGCCCAGCAACATCAACCCTACTAATTCAGCAACAACGGCTCTCTGCACAGAAAGTAAAGTTTTGAAACCGAAACGGGTCCTGAGACGGTCAAATTTAGGGTCACTGAGGACTTCATGTCAGGAGGAGATTTGATACTTGTCAAATAGGCGAGCTGGCTAAGCTTAGGTAGAAGGCCGTCTCTCGTCAGGCCAGCTGGCGGCTCGCCGGCTGATGCGGCGATGACTGGGCAGCTGCCGTCGCCAGCCAATCGCACGCGCTTCAAGACACCAGAAGGGCGTTACCTGCTGTCGCACGAGAAGGTTCACCCGGCCGGGCTTATCCAGTACACCCATCAGCGCAATCCCACCAAGGTATTACGCGCTCGCCACGTGTCCCTTCCAGATCCCTCCATTTCAACGGTCAGGGACACAGTAATCTATCACGTGCCCCGACTATAGATTGCAATGGCATTCCGCTCCCTCCCCTGTTACAGTCACGAAGCTGCATCGGCCGTGTCTCACGCGCCTCCCGCAACGATCCCTCAAAATCTGGATCCCACGATCTGCATCTGGCATTCCGTGCTGCTTCTCGCATTCCCTTTCCTCGCCCTTTCCCCATGCCCCTTTCAACCGCGCCCCTCCCCTCCCCCTTCCCGTCTACCCTTTCCCCCTTCCCCATCCTTCCCCTTCCCCCTCGTCCACCCCCTGGCCCTCCTCCCGGCTCCTTCCCCGCGCAGATCACATTAGCGTATCTCGAGGACCGGCCTCCCCCTCTTCCGCCTCCGTCGCCGTCACCTGTTGCCACGTCAGCAGGTTCCAGATTCGCCAAGAACTTCTTAGGGGCGGGGAGCGGCACGCGTGGACTGCCTTTCGGCGGCGGAAATGGCCGTCAGTCAGGTGAGTTTGGCCGTCGGTCAGGTGGGACTGGCCGTCAGTGAGATGGGAGTGGCCGTCAGTCAGGTGGGAGTGGCCGTCAGTCAGGTGGGAGTGGCCGTCAGTCAGGTGGGAGTGGCCGTCAGTTAGGTGGGATTGGCTGTCAGTCAGGTGGGAGTGGCCGTCAGTCAGGTGGGAGTGGCCGTCAGTCAGGTGGGAGTGGCCGTCAGTCAGATTGTTCACTTGCCCACCTTCTTGGCAGTTCCCCTCGTAAAGCATCTCCCTCACTTTCCTCTTTCCCCTTCTTCCTCTCACTCCCTGCCTCCGTGCATCCTGCATTCCCTCCTCATTTTCCCCTTCCTCCTTCCCCCCCACCCCCCCACCCCGCGCCCCACACTTCCCCGCTTTACCCGCCTTCCCACCATTCTCCCCCCATTCCCGTGCAGCAGCGGCGCCAGCAGCCAGTGGCGCGTCCGCGGGCACGGGGAGTGCAGGGGCGAGCAATGGGGCGGTGGGGGGAGCAGGCGGAGCGGGAGGGGCGGGGGAGAAGGAGAAGGCGGGGGGCGAGGGCGAGGGGTCGTACGTGATCTTTAACGTTGGCGAATCACTCTTTGTCGCGGACGCCAACAGCACGGACAAGGTGGGAAAAGGGGAAAGGTGAGAGGTGCAAGGGTTGAGCTGGGGCGCAAAAGGCGTGGGCGGGGCGTGAATGGGGGTGGGGCGCAAAAGGTGGGGGTGGGGCGCAAAAGGTGGGGCTGGGGAGAGCAAAGTGGAGGTGGTGGGAGCAAGATGGGGGTGAAAGGAGCAAGGTGGGAGTGGGGGGAGAAAGGTTTTCCATCTCGTCGACTTCTCCCTCCACTCACTCTCCCCTCAAACATTCATAGTCCCCTGTCTCCATTCTTCTTCCGCTCTCTCCCCTTCCCCTCCCTCCCTCCTGCCAGGAGCCCCTGAAGGCGCTGCAGTTCATGGGGGCGAGCGGGCTGTGCCACGCGTTTGACGGTGCTGTGGCGAGCAGGGAGGCACAGGGCACGGCGGGCAGAGACGCACACGACCTGCTCATCGCCACCACTGCCGGCGACAGTGAGTGCCCTCCTCTTTTCCACTCTCCTCCTCTCTGGGGGGCAGGGAGGCACAGGGCACGGCGGGCAGGGAGGCACAGGGCACGGCGGGCAGGGAGGCACACGACCTGCTCATTGCCACCACTGCCGGCGACAGTGAGTGCCGCCTGCTGCTCCCTCTCTCCTCCTCTCCCATGCTCGCACCCCAGCAACTAACCCCATGCCCCTGCAGCTAGCTTCGTCCCCGAGTTGCTTACCCCATGCCCCAGCTACTTACCCCATGCCTGCCGGATCCCCCCCCTCCTTGCCTCTTCTCTCCCCTCTCGTCCCCCTCCCTCCTCCCCCAGTCTACACAGCATCGCTGAGAGCCCAGCTAGCAGACGGCAGCAAGAAGCTGGTGGGGGCGGCACACTACAGCCCGCGGGACGGCACCGGCAGCAGCAGCGGCAGCGGGGGGAGCAGCAGCGGGGGGGGCAAGGAGGGCAGCGGCGGCAGCAGCAGTCGGTGCACGGCAGTGGCGTGGGTGCCGGGGGGAGATGGGCTGTTTGTGACGGCGCATGCGGATGGGAACGTGTATGTCTTTGACAAGGTGGGCCGCGCCTCTCTATGTGACGAGAAGTTTCTTTGCATGGTGTGCTATGCCTTGCAGCATTGCGGTCCTGTGGCAAGAAGCGAGTCATACAAATAAAATGCTAGACGCTGTATGTACGATTCCCTCTCCTTCCCCCCTCGCCCGTTCGTCACCCCCCCACCCAACTCCCCATCCCCCCAAACCGCACCTCATCCCTGCCTTCCGCGCAGCACCGTGATGGCACCACGGAGGCAGGCTTTCCGCCCATCAAGGACGTGCATGCCTTCTCCACCGCTCATGCGCGCTCCAACAAGGTGCATGCGCAACTCCATCCATCTTCCCTTGGCCCTTTGTGTCGCTTCAGAGTGGACTCGGATGTCTCTGTGGCTGCATGCTTGCCTCCTTGCACCATCACCATCGCGCTGCGATGAGACCAATCACTCACTCCCCCTCCCCCCTCTACGTAAGCATCCCCTAAAGCAACCCAAGTGTCCTCGCCCCTCTCATCTCAGTACATCTGCCCACAACTGCATGCCCTCTCTGCACCATCACCATCACCACCACCCATGAGCACCATCACCATCACCCATTGCTCTCACCCCCCCCAATGCCCCTCACCCACAGAGCAACCCGTTGGCGCGGTGGCACATCTCGCCATCATCAATCAACGCCCTCGCCTTCTCGCCCTCGGGCTCACACCTGGCCACTGTCTCCCGTGATGGTCAGTGCTGAGGGGGGCGGAGGTAGTAGAGGGGAGGGGGTTGTGCTTGGCCATCTTTTGCACGCTTGCTGCTGCCTGCTTGCTGCAGGTTATGTGTGTGGTCGACCAAGTTTGACTTTTAAGACGCCTCACAGCATTCTCCGGTTGGTGCATGCTGCTTGCTGCGTGCATGTGTCCCTCTTTCCATGCAACTTCCCTCTGCATGCAGGCTACCTGCGAGTGTATGACTGGGAGCGAGAGGCCCTGGAGGGCGGGTGCAAGAGCTACTACGGGGCGTTCCTGTGCTGCGCGTTCAGCAGCGACGGGCGGCTGGTGGCGGCAGGCGGGGAGGACGATTTGGTGGCCGTGTGGGACCGCCACTCCCACTCCGTGCTGGCGTGGTGCGAGGGGCACTGCTCGTGGGTGAGTGGGTCTTGCTGTTTAGGCCGCCTCAGCGAGCTGGTTTGGTGATGCTCTGCAAGGGTGAGGCTGGCTGCAACCTCGCCCTTGCCTGGTTCTATCCCTCTGCGAGCTCTCTGCCCTCCCATCTTGCTCCTCTCTCCCTCTCCCCGTTCCCCCTCCCTCTCCCTCTCCTCTCTCTCTCCCTGCAGGTCACAGCAGTGGCGTTCGACCCCTTCCTCTCCACCACGCCCCCCCACCCACCCACCACCATCTTTCTGTCTCAACATAGCACTCTCTCCCTTCTTCCGCTCTGCTCTCTCCCTGCAGGTCACAGCAGTGGCGTTCGACCCCTTCCTCTCCACCACGCCCCCCCAACCACCACCATCTCTCTGTCTCAACATAGCACTCTCTCCCTTCTTCCGCTCCGCTCTCTCCCTGCAGGTCACAGCAGTTGCGTTCGACCCCTTCCTCCCCGCCATCCCCCCCCCGCCCTCCACCACAGCTGCCGCCGCCGCCACTCCACCCTCCTCCTCCTCCATCCCCACCAGCAGCGCCAGCACGGGCAGTGGTGCGGGTGGGGGTGTGGTAGTGGCGGCGGGTGGGGCCGAGGGGAGCTACAGACTGGGGTCCGTGGGGCAGGTGAGGGGAGATACAGAGAGTGAGGGGAGTGAGGAAATTGTCATCAGTGCTGGCTGCTGTGCTGTCATGCACCAAACTACCCCGCGTCATGTGCACAGCCGCACGCACACACTGGCACACAGCAGCACACAGCAGCACACAGCAGCACACAGCAGCACACAGCAGCACACAGCAGCACACAGCAGCACACAGAAATGGCCGAGTTTCTAATCCTGTCGCGGTGCACTCATGATTGCTGTGTTGGCACGCTGTACCCTTTCCTCTGCACTCCTTCACCCCGCCCTCCTGCCCTCCTTCACCCCGCCCTCCTGCACTCACTCTCCCACCACCAACCCTATCAGGGCACGCAGCTGCTGCTGTGGGACGTGGCTCTGGGCACATGGTACTCCCCTTGCGCCTGTCGCTGTGCCACTGTGACCTCTGTCTTCGCACACCCTCACCCCTCCTCTTGCACTCACGCACCCACCCCACTCCCCTCCCCGCCCGCTGTCTCACCCGATCAGGACACGCAGCTGTTGCTGTGGGACATAGCTTTAGACGATGTGGTGCTCCCCTTGCGCCTCCATGCATCCCATCCGCACCACCAGTCAGCAGCTGCCACGTCAGCATCCCACCCTCATGACGTGGCATCGACCAGAACCCCGCCAACCGCCCACCCGCATTCTCGCTCGCACTTCTCCCACTTCCACTCTCACGCACCCGGCCATGCCTCTCCCAACCGAACACATGGCGCCACGTCAGCATCACCATCCACATCAGCTGCCACGTCAGCGTCATCATTAGGTCTGGGCAGATCCAGCGGTGCCCGGAGCTCCAGTGGGGCAGGGAGTGGTGCCGGTGGGGCCGGCAGCAGCAGCAGCAGTGGGGGCGGGGTTGGCAGCGGTGGTGGCAGCAGCAGTGGGGCTTTAAGAGATGCATCGGCATCGAATGCATCACATGCAAGCAATGCAGCAGCGGTGCTGGTGCCTCCTCCTTCCCGCAAGGACGTGCCGCGAATATCGCCAGTGATGGCGCATAAGGTATGCACTCCGCCAGTGATGGCGCATAAGGTATGCACTCCGCTCCGCCAGTGATGGTGCATAAGGTATGCACTCCGCCAGTGATGGCGCATAAGGTATGCACTCCGCTCCGCCAGTGATGGCGCATAAGGTATGCACTCCGCCAGTGATGGCGCATAAGGTATGCACTCCGCCAGTGATGGCGCATAAGGTATGCACTCCGCTCCGCCAGTGATGGCGCATAAGGTATGCACTCCGCCAGTGATGGCGCATAAGGTATGCACTCCGCCAGTGATGGCGCATAAGGTATGCACTCCGCCAGTGATGGCGCATAAGGTATGCACTCCGCTCCGCCAGTGATGGCGCATAAGGTATGCACTCCGCCAGTGATGGCGCATAAGGTATGCACTCCGCTCCGCCAGTGATGCCGCATAAGGTATGCACTCCGCCAGTGATGCCGCATAAGGTATGCACTCCGCCAGTGATGGCGCACATGGTATTAAGAGCCTAGGTTAGGGACCTAGGACCGATTACCTAAGGGCCCACCGATCCACTACAGGTGCCCTCGTGCGCCCTACCGTCTTAGCGCCCTCGAGCGCCTCTCTCCTAGTGCGCCCTCGCGCGCCCTCCTCTCACGCTGCTCGTTTTGCAGCCCGCTAGCAGCCCGAGCGCGGCCCCGCGTTTTTAGCACGAGTAGCAAATTCGCCGCCTAGGGCGGCCCGATTTTTTTCTCGCGAGCCCCAGCAGGCCGTCGCCCGTAGGTCCCGCTCGCCCCTAGGCCGACGCTCGACCCACCGCCGCCCGCCCGCAGGTCGCAGCCCGCGCGCAGCGGCGATCGCGCGTCGGCTGCTGCAGCTAGCGCTTAGCCGTCGCACGAACGCAGCCGCGGCCCGCGCGCAGCCGCACCCTAGGCGCCGCCGCGCACCGAGCATAGGCCCGCCGTTGCGCCGCCCTACCTACCCGAGCCTTATAAGGTATGCACTCCGCTCCGCCAGTGATGCCGCATAAGGTATGCACTCCGCCAGTGATGCCGCATAAGGTATGCACTCCGCCAGTGATGCCATTTTTCGCCACACCAGATCAAGGGGATTGCATCCTTTCTCCCATCCATCCCGTCACACATGCATCCACCCCCCCAATCATCCCTTCTCCGTCCCTGCCCCCTGCGAACTTGCCTCCCCACCAGAGCCGGCCTTCTCACGAGACGCCGTGCTCACAGCGTGTCATGAGGGTGCTCGGTTGCGGCCCCCCAATCATTCCCCCCTCGCCCGCCTGCCCCACCCCATTCCACCCCCCACCAGGTACACGTGGACCCGCTGTCAGCGCCGGCCTTCTCACAGCAAGCCATGTTGACAGCATGTCACGTGGGCTGTGTCAAACTGCTGTGTCCCTGTCCCCCCATCACCCATGCCACCCACCTCCAGGTGCACGTGGAGCCGCTATCAGCACTCGTCTTCTCACAAGACGCCGTGCTGACCGCCTGTCACGAGGGCTGCGTTAAGCTCTGGCTGCGACCAGGCGCCACCCCCCCTCCCGGCAGCATTGCCGCCACCTCCACTCCTGCCCCTTCTGGTGCCGGTGCTGCGCCTGTTCCTGCTGCTGGTGTTGCTGCTGCTGCCACTGCAGCCGTGCCTGCAGCGTCCGCCTCGCCTCTCCGGGGGGACCCCCAGTCAGCCTCTCCCGCCCTCCATCTGTCCGACCGGGGGCCTGCCAGCCACCGCACGGGCACGGCAGAAGCTGCTGCTGGTGCAGGTGCTGGTGGTGCTGCTGGTGCGACCGGTGGTGGCAGCATGAGTGCCACTGCTGCGTCGGGTGCAGCGACAGCGGTGGCAGCGGGGGGGAGTGCCAGAAGTGCTGTTTCCGGGCAACGAGGATTCAGATGAATGCATGGCATATGCAAGAGCATAGTTTCAGTGGAGGCGCCTCATGGTGCATGCAAGGCATGCTTTCAGGCATGGCATGTGCAAGAGCATGGTTCAAGGCGCCTACGGTACAAGGAGAGTATTTGCAAGTACAGGGGTGTGTGTGGCCCTCAGCTACTCACCTAAGTGGATAGCACATGAAAAGGTTTCATCAAGAGCACAAGCAGTTGTAGCTGTGGCCTATGTTGATGACTGATGTGGTTATGCAGTATTGTTTGCAACTGTTGTCATGCTCTCACTGGTGGCAATGGCATAGAATGATGTTGATTAATGGTATTTACACGTGCACACAGGAGTGTGATGTGGGTTCTGGGTGGTGTTGGCGCGATGGGATGTGTTGCGAAGAAGATGCAAAGCAAGCATGTGTGCACGGGGGAGCAGCAGGTGACTCAGAGAAATTAGTTATACCATACATGCGTGCACCCATGCACCGCAATGCAATCCCTGTATGGTGGCAGGTGGTAGTAGCACTGCACTTGCCCATGGCCCACAACAATCCATGCATCATGCATGGTGTGCCATACGGTAGTGTCTTAGGGCCAGTGTGCATGCCATGGTGCCTGACCATCCGTGCAGCAGCACAGCAGCAGCGGCGGCAGTAGCATGCATGGGATGAGATGGCGAGTTTGGTGTGGACCTGCTCGTGCTGCAACCAGGCCAGTGGGTGTGGGTGTGGGTGTGCTTCAAAAAGTTTTGCAGATGAACTATCCCCAAGATGAATAATTTAGAGATACCGGTATAGCTCTAAGATTTATACTGTAGTTGTGACAAGATTTGAAGAAGGGGAATGCAATAAGGAGGCACTTCCATCCATCGGCAGAAAATTGATGACAGTAACCTATGACCAGGCCCTCAGATATCAGCGTAAAACACGCTGATTACGCTGATTTTGTAGCTGTGATTTTCGTTTTCCCTGAAAATTCAGCATATGCTTCAATTTTGCACTGAAATTTCAGTATATCCTACCTTGTCACACTGACCATTTTGCATGTTTCTTTACAAGAAACACTGACGAATCAGTATAGTGACGTGAGTCACACTGAAACGGAGTTGATCGCGTGTGGGGGGGTGGTGGGGGGGGTGATAGGGTACGCATGTACAATCTGTACCTTCCCGTGATTCCTGAGACCCCACCCACACACTAGGCATTTTTTCGCATGCACTGCACAGATATCAGGTGCGCGCTGTCCGGACACAGCAACAACACCACACACCTTGTACTGGGGTTTCAGCTATAGTTTTTTGTTATTACACTGTTGGTTCAGTTTACTTATGATTTTTACACTGGCAAAATCAGTATAAAAAAAACCGTGAACGCTGATTTGGACACCTCGTTGGCCGGGGCACGCTGATCCATCAGCATACCCTCAAACCAATCTGAGGGCCTGCCTATGACGACTGCATTGCAGACTCCTTGCAGAGTCTTGTCACAATTGGAATGGTACGGTATTTGTTGCATGGGTAGTGGGCATGCACGGCACCATGACATAAGTCATGGGTTGAAACACATTGAGCGACCGTGAAGAGTGGTGACAAGCATAGAAGACGAAAGACCTGTGAGCTGTCCCACTATTGGGGCACAGCACATGGCATATTATCAAACAAAGACCTTGGCAGCTTTACCTTGCTGCCGTACGTATCAGCAACTGCATACTCATTGTTAAGCATGGTTCCTACCTACCTAGCACCTATGATATGACCAAGCACCTAGCACCTAGCGCCTAACACGGATCTCTCATGTCTGGAGACAGGGCATGCTCCATGTGGTCCACCGGCACGCTGCCTGCTAGCTGCAGGCACGCGCTTTCCCATGCTGCCTGCCCGCAGACCCAACGCTGCCAGCTGGCCCATTTGGATTGGATCGTGCCAGCTGGCTCTCTTGGACTCAACACTGCCAGCTGGCTCACCCTGACGTGCACCCAGCCAGCTCCAATCTAACTGCACTGCTGCAGCTGCGAGCCTATTGTTGACCCGCCACGGCAGAGAGCCGCGCGCCAGCAGTGCGCACACGCGCATCGCTGCCGTGTGTGTGTGGCGCCGTGAGCCACACGCCACCCCCTCCTATAGCCGCTGCAGCGCCCACAGCCCCTATAGGCGCTGTGCCCTTGGCCATGGAAGCAGCGGCAGCAGCGGGGCGGTCGGAGGTGGCTTGCGCGAACATTTCCGGTGACATGGGCACGATGGCCATGGCCTTGTGCGGCTTCTTGCCGCCCTTGTGGCTCTTGGGGTGCAGCTTGGCGCGGCGCTGGCGGAACATGTGCGTGTAGAGGTGCAGCCAGAAGAGCGGATACGCCGCCAGGATGACCTGTAGTAGGGGGAGGGCCAAGGGGGGATGGGGGAGAATGTGACTTGTTGACTCCACCGATGGGGGTGGATGCCAGGGTGGTGTGCATGGGATGCAGGAGGAGGGGGAAGGGGAGGCGGCAGGGGCACTCACCATGAGGACGTGGCAATCACCATGAGGACGTGGCACTCACCATGAGGACGTGGCACTCACCATGAGGACGTGGCACTCACCATGAGGACGTGGCACTCACCATGAGGACGTGGCAATCACCATGAGTACGTGGCACCCACCATGAGGACGTGGTGGCAGTCGAAGGGCAGGGCTGCAAAGAGGAAGTCGAGGGGCCGCTCCGCCTTGACAAAGGGAATCGCGCTGTAGATGAGCACCACTGCGCGCAGGGTGGGGAGGGGAAGGGGAAGGGGGGGTGAGATGGGAGGGGGGAGGGAGATGGGAACCACTGTGCGCGTGGGGGAGGGTGGGCGGGTGTATGGGGATGTGGAGGTTAGAGGGGGGTATATGGGAGTGGGGGTATGGGTAGGGGGACCAGCGCAGGCGCGAGTGGAAGCACGTGCGCGGGAGAAAGGGAAGAGGATAGGGGGGACTCATCGCCCACTCCCTTCTTGTCTTCGTTACAGTAAGGCGCGGTACAGTCACGGAAGTGTTACTTTCGAAGTTAGGAAGGTTGCTTGGGGGAAGGGACGTGAGTGGCGCGCGAACCAGGGTGGTGTCGAGTTTTGTGGTTGCGGATCGCAGAGCCTGAGTACCTCGCATCCGTAACCAGATCTTGAATGCAACTGTAGGAATTCATTCGCAACAATTTCGGACGGCCTTCGAAATGTGAGCAAAATTGTCACTGCCATCGTTCTCGTCAGTACAGCAATTTCGCTTGACGAAATTTGTTTCGACAGTTTGCGAAGCGAGCGAGCATCTACTCGGTCACACCCAACCAAAGTTAGGAAGGTTGAGGCACTTTTGGGCTGTTTGGGACTCCGGTTTTAATTTACTGTCGTCCGCGCCACTCACTCTCCGCGTCACCCAATCTTCCGCACGACTCACTTTCTCCATCTCACACTCCATGCGCCACTCACTCTCCCCGCTACACCCCCCCCACCCCCCCACGACTCACTTTCTCCGCCGAACATGCCGATGGGGTAGAGCGGGATGAACGCCGAGTAGCGCAGCCACGTCAGCGCGCGCGGACACGTGCCCAGCAGCGAGAGCGCGTACTGCGGATAACGGATGACCTGTCATCCCCAGGGAGGGGGGCCATGGGGGAGCAGCGAGGGAAGGGGCGGGGACAGAAGGGAGCGGGTGACAGGTAGAGCATATGGGGAAGCAGGCGCAGCGGAGAACGAAAAGAGCCTCGCTTCTTTCAACTCCCATCAGCTGCTATCAAGCGTTTAGTCCGGCAATTCTACATCTACATATTTCAAGATTTTGCTAAGAAGAGCCGGAAGCTGGTGCTTGTGTCTAACACCAGCTTCCTGCTCGCCTGTCTGACACCCGGACACGCGACACAAGCGGGGTGCGCGCCTGGGGATTGCAAACGCACGAGACGGATGCACGAGCGCGCGTGCGGAGCGGCGGGACGCGCCTCGGAGCGAAAGGCTCACCTCGGAGCGAAAGGCTCACCTCGGAGCGAAAGGCTCACCTCGGAGCAGCACCAGACGGCGAGGAGCACGAAGAGCGCGGCGTGCGTGTGGAGGGCGGGCGTGCGCCCCACGACCGCGAAGAGCACGAAACTCCGCCCCACCCACTGCACCAGCGGCGCCACCACTCCGCTCCGCACCAGCCCTGCGCGGCGAGGGGACGAGGGGAATGGGACGACGAGGGGGAGTGAGGAAACGGAGTGGGCGCGAAGGGGAAGGCGTAGGGGCGGTAAGTGCGGGGAGAGAGAGAGAGCGCGGGAATTGTTGGAGAGAAAAAAGAGGTAATTGCGTTGAAAGGAAGAAAAGGGGGAACTGCGGGAAGAGAAGTGCAGAAAGTGGCAGTCAGAGGAAGGCGATTCGTACCCGTGGCGGCATGCACGGCCTCGAGAATGGACGCGAACTGACACACGTCTGCAGGGACGGGTCGAAGGGAAGAAACAAATCTTGAGAACCGAGCAGGTTCCGGACGCAGATGGCACTAAGGAGCAAGATTCGATTGCATCAGCAGCAACTCGCTGCTTGCTACTCTTAGCATGCTGAAGACGGAGGAGGACAGAGAATTTCATCACTATCTCGTCGTGACGGCGAATGGGCGGCATCACGGTGACAAGGGGGGAAGGACAGCGAGGACACAGCGGGAGGGCGGGGGGAGGGGGGCGCGCGGGGCGTACAGACAAGGGGCCACGCAGAGTGGAAGGCGCCGGTGATGGAGGCGGTGGTGGCGGCGCTGCGCATCATGGCGGCCAGCGCCGCGGCCCTGATGTGGCGGCGGGCGGAAGAAGTGCGCGGGATGGCGCAGAAAAATGAAGTGGGCAAATGAAGGCGCAAAACGGGTGACCGCGGGGGACATGGTGCTAGTGCGCGATTCGGGGTGCATGCCGGTTTGGGAATGCATTGGGCGGGGAAGGACGCAGGTGATGGAGTTCCGCTGCGACTGGAGAGAAAACACTAAGGAAGCGGGAAATGGCAGCGCTATTCGCGGCGAGAGACGTACCATCCAGCGGCCTGCGCGAGATTGTAGGCGGCGAGATACGTTTTCGTCAACGACGCCATTTTCTTGAAGAAGGAAAAGCAAGTTTTGTTGGAGCCGTGTAGACTAGCGAATGTTATTGGAATGTTAGTGTTTCTTGTCTCGTACGCATATATGACCTTGTAGCTCCGCGCTAGCTATTCGTACGTATCTTGAAGTTACTGCTTTACGCAACCTGGCTTCGTCCGTGTTGCTCCTACGTCTCAAGAAAATTAGCGCGTTTTGCGGTTCTTGCCGAAAATTTGAAGAAGGAAATCGAGCAGTCGGTATGGAGGTGCACTCAAAGAAGGAACATTCACCCACTTGGCCCAATTCCCGAAATCCAAGTTGAGCAAGTCGGGTCGGTCGGAGGTGCCCCTTTCTACATTCTCCCTCGAACCCCAGCTTCACCGGCTTCGCCCAATTCCCGAATTTCTTGCCGTTGACGCGACGATGCGACTCGGCAAGTTAGTCGCAACCTACGGCACACCAAAACATCGCACATCGTCACCACCAGTAAACACCCTGGCACGCGACGTGAACGAATTCTCACAAGTGTCTTCGTTGAATGTTGACTGTGAATGTGAGTGGATTCCAAAAGAAACGGAACCGCAACGGGTCGCATGGTGTTGTGATGGGCGTCGCACGCACCAACAGCTTTGAGCGGAATGCGGGCGCCAAAGCATTTTCCAGCAGCCCGCGCAAACACATTACCAAAATCTGCGACGGGGGAACATTCCGTTTTTGTTGGCTGAGCCGCGGCGAAGACTTGGCCAGCTAGGGTAACTCCTTCGTTGACAAAAGCACATGTTACTACAACAAGATTCGACGTTTACGTCGTAAGGGTTGCGTAGGGTTATATTTCTCGTATATTGTTACGAGTGCAATTGAGTGAACGAACGAGAATTGCACTATCGAAGCAAGAATACAATGAGCGAAGGCATGAGCGAAGAATATATAGTGAAACTACAGTGGTAACGGTAATGGACTGTGGTTGTCGTGCGACGAGCCTGGGACTGAGGTTGGGAAAGTGTCGAAGCGGAGGCCCGGAGCGCGGGTTACCAGCCGAGCCGTGAGGTCGGGGTGCGATGTGCGAAGATGGCGGGATGATTGTCGATGCGAGGATCGCGAGTGGTAACGGTGCTGACTGAGGTGCTACAGTGATGTACGCGTTGAGCAGGGATGCGAAGTAAGGAAAGGGGTTTTTCCTTACACTACCCCCCCTCCTAAGGAGGTCCTTTTTACGAAAGAGCGTGGACGTCCCTGAAGTTTCGGCTGCGCAGATATTCGGTGAGAACAGGGTGGTTTTCAATTCTGTCCAGGGGAACCCAGTTGTCCTCGGTGGGTGTACGGTCTTTCCAGCGGAGCAGGAACTCGATCTTTCGGGCTCCTCGAGGGTCGCGAACTCTGTGGCTCAGGATTTTGTCGGGGGTGATGATTGGTTCGGTTGGAGGACGAGCCATGCTGGCTGGGCGAATTCGTGGGAGTTGGCTTGTGGATGGTACGTAAGGGCGAAGCAGGCTGACGTGGAACGAGGGGCTGACGTACCAGTCAGCAGGGAGGAGAAGGTGCGCGGTGACAGGTGTTATCATATGGCTAATTCGAAATGGCCCGCAGTATCGAGGGCGGAGTTTGGGGGTGATGGGCAGGCGGAGGTTTTGAGTGTCGAGTAAAACGAGGTCGTCGGGCTGGTAAGTAACAGGTCTGCGGTGGCGGTCAGCGTTGCGTTTAGCGATGATGTTTGATTTTTTGATTGCTTCTGCTGCCCTGGTTCGTGCTGCTTGCAAAATCTCAGCGAACTGTTGTGCGCGTGGAACGGGGTTGTCGGGATTCGGGGTCATGGGTACTGTTGGGTCTTGTCCGTAATTCAGGTAAAATGGTAACTGTTGGGTCGTGGCAGATGGGGCGTTGTTGTATGCGAATTCGATGAGTGGCAGTTGCTGTTCCCACATATTTGGATCATCACACGTGGCCCTAATGAGCTGTTCCATGGTCTGGTTTGTCCGTTCGGTCTGTCCGTCGGTTTCGGGGTGATACGATGAACTGAACTGTAGGCGCGTGCCGAACTGCTGCCACAGGTTCCGCCAGAAGTTGCTAGTAAACTTCGTGTCTCTGTCGCTGATGATTGATGCTGGTATCCCGTGCAGTCGAACGACGGTAGAGATGAAGAGGCGGGCTGTTTCTTCGGCTGTGATTGATTTCTTGCAGGCTGCGAAGTGTGCCATTTTCGTCAGTCGATCGACGACGACCAGGATTGCATCATTCCCACTCGCCCCGGCCGGTAACCCCGTGACGAAGTCCATCGTCACTTGCTGCCAAGCACGCTCTGGAGGTGGGATTGGTTGCAACTGTCCCGCCGGCCGCTTCCGGGTTGACTTCATGATCTGGCAAGTGGGACACGATGCCACGTGTCGTTGCACGTCGGTCAACATTTCGGGCCAGTAATAATACCGCTGCAGGTGCTGCCGTGTTTTCTCTACTCCGAAATGTCCCGAGGTAACTCCGTCGTGTGCCTTCTGTAACAGTAATTCCCGTAGTAGTGTGTACCCTGGTACCCAGATGCGTTCGGTCCCAGCTTTTACGTAATAGACTCCCTTGGCTGCTGTGAATTGCTGCGAGTTTCCTCCTGTGAAGAATGGATGTGTTTGATATCCGTGGGTAAATAGTCCTGTCAGTAGCGGGCTGGTCTGGGCGAGTAGTATCGCATCGATCTGGGCAGTGGGGCGGGTCAGTGCATCAGCGATATTCGAGGCTCCTTTTTTACAGGTGACCGTATAATGGAAATTTGACTCGAGGAAATCGAGCCACCGAATCTGTCGTGGGTTGAGGTGGGGCTGTGCACGGAGGTACTGTAGGGATCGATGGTCTGTCCGTACTGTTACGTCTGCGCCGGTCAAGTAGCAGCGCCACACCTTGAATGCATGCACGATCGCGAGCATTTCGCGGTCGTGTATCGGGTAATTTCGTTCAGGCAGATGCAATTTTCGTGATTCGTAGGCGATGGGCTGGAGGCCGTTGCCGAAGTCTTGTAACAGTACGGCTCCAATGGCGATGTCGCTTGCGTCTGTAACAACTTCGAAGGGGCGATGTGGGTCAGCGATGCGTAGGACGGGTGGTGAACAGAGAACATGTTTCAGGGCAGAGAAGGCAGCATGCTCTTTCTCCCCCCACGTAAAAGCGACCCCCTTGCGTAGTAAATCTGTTAGCGGGGCTGTTAATCGTGCCATGTCGGGGACGAACCGACGAACGTAATTAACGAACCCTAAAAAACTCTGCAGCTCCGTGATGTTCGTCGGGGGATGCCACGCTTTTACGGTATCCAGCTTCTTGGGGTCGATTTCTGCTCCAGCCTCCGAAATAATGTGCCCTAAAAATTCTAGCCTATCCCGAAAAAACTCGCACTTGGAGCCCTTGGTGAGTAACCGATGTTCCTCTAAAATTTTAAACACTGCTTCGAGATCGACTAAGTGTTGCTGCTGGTCGCGACTGTAAACGAGGATGTCGTCGAGGTAAACTATCACGCATTTATCTAAAAGTGGCCTAAACGCCTCGTTTATGGTCATCTGAAATGTTGCGGGCGCGTTGGTCAGCCCGAAAGGCATCACCGTGTACTCGAATGACCCGTACCTAGTCCTAAATGCTGTCTTGGCGCACTCCGATGGTTCGACCCGAATTTGATGGTAACCCCCCCGTAAATCTATTTTCGAAAATACCCGTGCTGTTCGCAGCTAGTCGATCAGTTCGTCGGCGCGGGGGATGGGGTATCGCGATTTGACTGTTACTCTGTTGAGCGCTCGGTAATCAATGCACATGCGAAATCCTCCGTCTTTTTTTGGTGTGAACAGTATCGGTGCGGCGAACGGTGACGAGCTCGGTCGGATAAACTGCTTCTCTAACAAATAATCTAACTGCTTCCTTAGTTCGTCGAGCTCAGGCTATGTCCGCCTGAATTGGCGCTGTACAGTTGGCTGTGCCCCTGGTTCTAACTCGATCCTATGGTCATGCGCCCGCTGAGGTGGCAGTCCTTGCGGTAAATCGTCTGGAAAAATCCTCGGGTACTGTTTCAACAGATCCTGAAGTACGGGCGGTACCGCTGCCAACAGTTTCTGAAAATCGCTCGGCTGCTCCTCTTCTCCTACTAGTGCTATATCCGCTGCGTACACGTCAGCTCCCGCGGCAACAACCCGTTTCATCGTGATGGCGTTGACGTGGACCGTTGAAGACTCGGGTGACCGCCAGCGAGGTAGTTCGACCCCGTTACCACTACTTCGCATGGTGCAGCTACCCGTCGTCCAGTCAATTCGCGGGTTATACCGTCGCAGCCAATCACGTCCCAATAAAATGTCGTGCCCATCCAGTGTCGTGGCGAGCATTTCCTGTGTAAACCCGAAGTTCCCTCCGCATCGGATTTTTACTCGCTCCACCTTTTCCCGTATGGCCAGTGGCGTGCCGTCGACTAAGCGTGCGTCTATCTCATGTAAGCAGTGGTTAAGTGTTAACTGCAGATTCCGTGCGGTCGCGGTATTAACTAAACTGTGACTTGCTCCTCCGTCAATAAAAATCTTCACTGCTGCTCCCTGTATCTTCCTGTAGATCAGTACTGGGCAATCCGTCGCTGTACCCTCCTTATTCATCCGAGCCCGATCGATGGCGTGAATCGGTACTGTGACTCGGTGAGGGTCGGTGCGGTTGGGCGAGCAGGCAGTCTCGTCAGTAGTTGGCCCAACTTCTACTGACTGCTGGCGTTTCCCTGCCTCTGAGACTCCCTCCCCTGCTCTGTTCCGCGGCGCCTCAGCTCCTCTGGGCATTCGCTCTTACGATGGCCTGGCCTGTTGCAAGCAAAGCAGCGCCCCTTGAACGGTGCGGCAGCTGCATTCGTTGCGACGGCGTGTACAGTGGCGTGCTCGGTCGGTCCCCGAGGGCGATGTCCGTAGTAGGACCCCGGTCTCGGTCGGCGTAGAATGTCGATTTTCTCGGCGAGCGCGAGAATCTCGTTGAAGTTAGAGAGTCCGCGCAGCATGATTTCGTGCGAGATATCCGGCTT